TATATATATATATATATATATATATATTCAGTGCTGAATTGGCGATAGTCACAGCTCAGCATCAGGAGAGAGATCTCGTGGAAATTCTGCTGTATGATTATTTATTTAATTTCTTAAAGAAAAACGGGAGAATGTGTCAATTTCTGGAAAGAGATCACCTCGCTGTCGCATTTGGAGCTGTAAATTTGGTAATGGACAAGTAATGATCGCTATTTTCGTCATTCAATAGCTGGAGATAGTTAGCTATAAATCCACAAGAGCGCTAGCTACATTGCACTTTACTTTTGTTTTTTTTTTTCTTATATATAAACCAGATTATATAAGTAAATATTAAAAATTAAATAATATTTATATACTATGATATGTATATAATATTCTCAGAATATTATTATTGGTGATATTTTTTATGGATCTAAAATTGATTTAGGTATATAATATTGGTAATATATAATTGAATTGAGTTAGAGTTATATTGTTTGTTATGGAGTTTTTAAGAGTCATGTTTTTGTATAAATAGTCATTATTTAGAGATATTATATATGAGTGAATGTATGATATAAGTATTAAATTTAAATTTATCAGTGGGAGATAACAGATCTTTCTAAAAGGTCGAAGTTATGAGCTGGGCGAGCTTGACTTGTGAGAATGGAGGGAGTTGAGAGAGCAGAGGAAAGTTATGTAGAATGCTCAAGAAAGTTATATATCTCAAACTAGCAAAATATCTACTAATATCAGTTAAAAGTGCATCAAAATATTTGTCATCACCGCTCTTTCAAAAGGTTTTGAGAGGTACAAGAGAGATTATACAAAAAGTTTAAAATACAACACTACCAAGAATAATACCCCTACAATGCTACACACTAGATACCCTAAACACATGCCCCCTGATCTTGAACGGTTGAAGGAGAGCGTTATCGGAAGGCTTCATCAAGTTGCCTCTAGACAAGCTCAATAATGCTGAATGAACGAAGGAGAGTGCGCTCGGGTTAGTCTTTGTGTAATGCTTGGATGAAAGGGGATCAACAATTTGTGAGTTTGTTGGTATTACTGGCACTTGTGTGGGATATCTTGTATTGTCTTAGAAGATATAGGTGAGGGAGATGTTATCACAAGAATTAGAGTTGAGAGTTTGATGGTCGCAGTGAGGTAGGCTGAGAGTCCATAAGTAGGTGCTTTCTCGTAGTGAGTTTGTTGAGAATGGTCTCTTGGTGAGAGAGCGAGTGCTTGAGGTTGCTCTGAGAGGGAGTGAGTAATTGATATAGTGGTCTAAGTATGTGGTGGGTGGTGGGCTACTAGCTTGGTGAGGAATCCCCTATTCGCCCCATAGAGGGTGAGCTCCCTAAAAGGTCCACACGAGTAGTGCTTGTTGATCACTATGGGCGAGTTTTAATTATGTGAGCTTGGTATATATGAGTGATTCCTCTTGGATCATTATGCGAGTTACTTAGGTCCCCCCCACCCCCCTTGAGGACAAGTTCATCTGCCATGGCTCACTAGCTATCCGCTAAACGCCTGTGATGGCATATGTGTGTATACAATAAATTTGTTCAAATATGTTACACTTCTCTGCATCTCTCTCAGATGATTTTTGGAGTTACCAATAAATTAAATCCTTTCTTTGTCATGATATTCCAACAATTGAATCATAATAGTTTGTTTACTTTTAGCAATTTCTCCTTGTCTCAATGTTCAAAGTCTAGCTATCCTTGTCTCTAAGAATGAGAACTTTTTCTCATCCACCATGACGTCATCATAAAATCGTATTGAATTCCACATCAAAATATACTCTCAATGTCAAGATTACATATTTACGTTCAAGCAATCACTATTTGCAAGGCCACTGCTTCATATTTCATGGTCGTTTCTACCAAGCAAACATGCGTCAAGTCACTTCCTTCGCATCTAACATTTGTAATAATTTAGAATATATAATGAATGCGAAAAATATGAAAGCTTTCAATAAAAATGACTAAAATGCTATGTCAAATCAAAGAATATAAATATTTCACAATTTTATTGGTTTGAAAATTTGAGATAAAGACAAAATCTTTAGGTCATACAAAATTTCAAAGCTCTAATCACCACCTAGAATTCCAACTAGATGTTTCATTATTCTAAGATTTGTCCAACATCACAATATTTAAGTCACCCCTACCTTTTCAAGAGAAGATCTGATCTTTTGATTGCCTCCAATCACCTGTCAACTATAGTTGTTCAATCTCTTTTCCTTTTATGAAAGAGGATATTCTAATTATCCTCAATCATCTATATATTGACTTTATGTCACTCTTCCCCTCCCACCACACTTGCTATGTTCATCACAATTAATTCCTTAAATTTATTAAGGCCTTCTTCAATATGAGACTAACTAACAAAATTTTTTATAGCTAAGATATTATGATTTTTTATTTAATCTTTTATGGAATAGTTTAAAAATTCATATTAATATAAAAAATATCAAATGATTATTTTTTAATTATAAATATAAAGTTTAAATTTAAAATGTATTTAATCATTTATATACCTAACTAAATTTTAATTATCCTTTTACTTTTTTTTGGTCAATTAGGCTAATTAAGATAAATTCATACACACATAACATACGTAATATTCAAACCCAAGATTTTGTGGTTGGGAGCTCGTTGGTACTCAAAGCTCCCAACCAATAGACCAAGATGAGCTACTGTTATCCTTTAACTCGTTTATTTAGTATTTTATGTCTTGTGGTAATTCAGATTGTGGTTGGAGTGAGCAGCTTTCTATAAAAAAATTTATTCTTGAAAGCTAAGCAGTAAAAAAGCCGTCCCGAACGAAGCCTTAAGGTCTATTTCGGATGGGTGAAATTTTTTGTTAAGGTGATTGAAGGTGCTGTAAGAAAAATAATTTTCTTAAAAATTATTGTGAATGCTAAAATAATAATAATTAAATAAACATAAAATATGAGTTGTTGGTTGGAAGCATGTGCAATATGCTTTTTTTTTTCTTAATTAAATTTTCTGATATTTAATTAGAAAAAATATATTATAAATTGGATGTCGATTCATTACCAAATACCAACCCTAAATTATTATATTGACTTTCAGTTCCACCGCTTATTCTGTCATTCCTTATGAGTGAAGCACATTTTTTATCGGAATTATATAATAATTTAATCAATTAAAAATGTCAAATAAATATCACATCAATTTAATTACAATCACCCATCAATTTTCGGAATTTAGATATTTATTTATTTATCTTAAAAAAACCATTAACTTACTAAATTGAGTGAGTTATATTTGCTTATGTAAATTAATTTAATAAATAAAAATCTTAGGAACTATTATGAAATATTTTAATTTAAATTTGGTCTATAATAATTAATAAATTTAGTTGGACCGCCCATGTGAGACGAGCGGAGAAGACGGAGAGCCAACTGAACCTGGACCGCTAAGCCGCTTTAGTCCCAAACAATAATATGTAAACTTTGGAACTTTTTAAGCTTTCTCCCCCGCAGACCACCAAAAACCATTCGGTGTATGGGCCCTTTTACAGCTGTTCAACGGCTGCAATATATATAAGATTTTTTTTCTTTTTAAAATTAGAGAATCAATTTATTCCAACAAAGAAAGAGAATAGAATCAACCCAATCACTAAAAAAGAAAGATACACAGCTCTTTACGGTGGCTCGGTAATGCTGACGTGGCATATTCTGATTAGTCTCCACACGGTGTTCTGCGTCCAACCTTTACATAATAATTTCTCGAGCCTAGGACCATCCATAGGCAAGGGCCAGCAACAACCCACAAAGAAGCCGCCAAATAGAACAACTTGAGTCATCACCAATGGTTGCCAACAAGCCTCGACAGTTCATGTGGAGAGCAAAAACTTACAGCATCATTGCCCATAAAAGAACGAAGCAACCGCTAATCCAATCCCCAGCACCACTTCCACCCAAAATAGAACCAAGCACAACCTCAAAAACCCGAACACTAATCAGCCAACAAAGTGACACAGAACGACCAACAACACAAAAGAAGGCACCCAATGAAAAAAGAACAACCGTAGTTACTTT